GCTTCGAGGGAGGGGGGGGGAGGATGTCGCGAAAATATACCACGATAATTCCTACGACGGGCCTCGGCGATAAAATGGAGCCGAACACCAAATCAAAAGGTTCAAAAACATGTATTCGGGCGAAGTATCAGTCTCCTTTTATTCACCTAAAATAATAAAGTTTTTTTTTTGTATGAATGATTTTATATATTTTAGATAAGAAATTCTGTGAATGCAGTTACGTCACAGAAAATTCTCGGGCACAGACAACGACGTCTTCCTGTGTGAATTTTCCAAATACGGTGATCAAAAATGAAGAAACAATTTAAATTGACACTCTGATCTAGAGATAAAATAGTTATTGTTATAGCAGAATTTTATATTAAATACAATTATTTTCAACGAACGAAATCTGGGTATCTACAATAAATATTTCTAAACCAAAAAAAAACTAAGCTTTAAATCAAAGTATATGCCCGTGGCTTGCTTTGTACGCATTTAGTAACATTTGTTTAAATACAAATATCACAGATGCTTATTCATCTAACACATTATTTCTATCTACAGGGTGTTCATATTAACAATATCAAATTGTTACGACTAGTTGTCACATCTCTGACGACCTTTTACAGGCGCCAAGCGGGCAAGAATCTCAGTAGACGACCTCGACACAGGAGCAGAAGACGAGGATGACGATGACGATGATGACGAAGAAATAAGCACCAGAGGATCTCCATCGGCGACTTCCACCGGTGTGCCCGACAACAAACGCCCTCCACAAACGTCACGCAGAAGTTCTTCGCTGTCGCCTCCACCACCCCCGCTTCCCCTCTCAGTATCAACTACCCCGTCACCGGAACTGTCGACAGCTCCGCCCCCTGGAGCAGATCACCCCGACGTCGACAGCAATGGAAACAACGGCGAGGCGGAGAGCGAGTCTGCGTTGCCGGAAAACCTTTCACTGCCCAAGAAGTGTCCAGGTTTGCCCGCGAGTCCCAGACACCACCCGCCAACCACACAGCCACCCCCCTACCTGCTGTACCACCAGCAGTACCAGCACTTCCAGCAACAGCAGCAGCACTTTCAGCATCAACAGTATCAACAGCAACAACAACAACAACAACAACAGCGCTCCCCTGTAGATATTCTTCTCAGGGTATTCCCAGGAAGACGACGGAGCGACGTAGAAGCACTCTTACAGCGATGCAAAGGCGACATTCTGCACGCTATAGAACTTCTGGTGTGCACAAATGGTGGCAGCGGAGGGACTCCTAGCCCACAACATGAAGACGCCCCTCTGAGTTCCCCACCGCTGTTACCCAAATCGGCTTTCTCGCCTCTTGGAGCCCTCGGACCGCCGCCACACCAGTTCCATCACCGGTACAGCCCGCAATCGCATCGAAGGTTCCTCGCGGCACCGTACGCTGGCACGGGATACCTTCCTACTGTCATCAGGCCACCTCCGGAGTACGCGATGCCGCTGGTCGGACACCCTCACGACATCTACAGTAGTTCTGGGAGCGCGTGCACTGACAAGGCCACAGCCTCGTCTCCCGGGTCAGGGACCGGCTCTGATAAAACCTCGTATTCCGAGTGACCGATAGGGGTCCTTCGACCATCGCCAGAGTACGCGCGATTTATATTTTACAGAAACCCCGCTTGTACTGAGAAATCCTCGCCCGGTTCTGGGTCAGGGTCCAGTGACGTTGACATCCAAGGACAGTGCATGTCGTAATGAGAATTATGTGCCGTTCGAGTGTTAAACCTGCTTGTGCTTTTATAGAAGAGGAAAATTTGTTGATATCGGTAGGAATTCGCTTGCTTATTCATCCAACACCCACAAGTGTTTAAAAACATTAGAAGACATTATACTAGCCTTATATACCAGTAAAACATCTTGGAATGCAGTGGAACACATGAAAGGGCATTTTCAAAGGATGCATTACACTTTAATACAGGGGAAATGAGCGGTATGATCTTATTTTCAACAAAATCAACTCTGTAAAGCCATCTATTATAACTCACGTACAGCCTATAATGATGTCAAATATAATTCCCCAATTCCTGAAGTAGGTTACTCTCTCTTTCACTAAGCGACATTAAACTTGAGTAGATTATTCAATGTGCGTTTTTCTTATATGTAACAAGTCAATCTACTTTCTTGAAGACACTAAACGTCGGTAACATACGGGTACATCCTAAAACGTAATTCGCTACTCGGTTACTGTATTCATGCCATCTGAATGGACCTGCTCACCCATCACGAACATGTGTGAACATTAAACATTTAAAACCGAGTGGTAACAATATGTACCAGCTGTTTTAACATTTTAAATTTTGTATTTATGGGTTTTGTATGATTCTCACCGTAAACAGCGATTATTTCCTTAAACAGCGTTAACCAGTTGATCTTCGTAATGGTGAAGTGTCGTGTTTTCTTCGCGGTACGGACTGGATTCTTAAATATTATTTAGATGAGCTTTGGATTCAAATGATCGATGTTATTTCAAGATGGCTATAATATTAAGAAGTCAAGACTTGGGACTATTGTATTATAGCCTCATACGAAGGATTTACAATGCCTTCTGAACACTCAAACGAATCTGAACAAAGTATAATTTAGTGTGCTTTACCTCAATTGAAAGAAGTTCATATTGGCATAGATTTAAATATATTCCTGTTTCAAACTTTGTTCTTGGTGAAGTGTCATGAAAAGAGGGCTTTGATGATCATTACGAACTTTAATGGACGGCCTCAGAAAAAAAAAAAAGCAGCATCAGTTCCTAAAGAACTGACCCTGACTTGTCAACATAACCGTCAATACGAAATTTGGGAGTTAAATGCAAACACAAATTAATGCTCCTAAACTTTAATGCAAAGATTTATATAAATACATCTCATTATTTATACGACGGACAGTGATTTTAATATTTAAGCTTAATTAAACGTGAATCAGTATGTAAAATAATATCCTAACACCGTCATTTAAAAAGTGTTAGAATTTGTTAACAAACAATTGGAAATGTTGGTGACTGAATACTCACAAAACTGAGAAAATTAAAGACAGTGAGAATATGGATGTCTCCTGGGTTCTTGTGCCGTGCAGTCTGCTAGAAGGAGGGGCAATCGCCCTGATGATGGAGGCAGCACGGACCTCTGAAACGTTGGTAAACTTCTACCAGACTTCACATCTGTAGAACCCGGAGGACAGCTATCTTCGGACTCACCACCGTGAGAACCTCAAATCCCACCAAGATAGCATCAGTTCGTTGGCACGAAATACAAAAAAATTGTTTCTAAGAATGTAGGACACCAGACCTCCAGAAGACAATTAGTACGTAAGAAAGTTTCACTCACTCTAAAAATACAACTTTGAAAATTATTACGATAATTTCCATTAAGCATATAGATTAGACGCAGGGTTGTGTAAGAGATATTCTGACATATTTCTTAACGTTCTAATAACAAATCTGGAGTGTTACACACCTGAGTACAACCAAGAATCATCGACGTTTAACGTCGCATAATAAATAGGAGGTTATGTCTGTTGTTGGCTATTCAAATATCGAAGATATCATTTGATACTATAATGTAAACAACAATAAAAATTAAAATAGAAACGGCTCGAAAATGCGCTGTGTAAAACTTTAAATTCCTTGATATTTGTTGCATTGAAGAAATTTCCTGACGTATTTTGTTTGTATCAAAGTCGAAATGTAAATAACATTGGATGAGCTGTTATAAAATTCGGATCTAGAGAATGTTTAATCATGTACGACATTACTTGTCGGTAATTGTCCGTCTGTCCTTCGTCGGACAGAATTTGTCGATGGTACTAAGGACATCACGGAGTCCACGAATGTCCTTCGTCTCGAATCAGGACGAAGACGAAACAAAACTCTCTCAGAGTAACAAATTTGCTTTACAAATATTTTAAGTATGGAATAATATTCAATTTCTTCAATTTTAATGCTGAAAATTACCAAATAAAAGAAATCCATGGCGTGCAGATGTATTCAGCTTTGTTATTTATTTATATGGAAATAAAACTAAAATTTTCTACCAAGCACGTGTTTGCTGGCTAATATTTAAAGAAGTTTAATATTGATTTTCGTGGATGATATGTTTGCTGGCTAACGTACATTTTTTCCAAAAAAGATGTCAAATAACCAAACAATACATATATCCACATTTTTGGCCATCTTAAAGCAGAAATTACTGCTACATGGGAAAGCAGGTAGTTGGACCATCAACAGTTATTATCGTACGAGCAGACATGTAAGGATAAAATGGAAGGTGGAAGATATTTACCCACGACTGTACAAAGTAACAAAATAAAATGCTTTAAAATCCTATCTGACTTTAATTTAATGTGTCTTAATTTTTTAGAGTTTCTCAGTTAGAATGGAGGATTTAATGACACATCGCATCCACACAAAGACAGTTGAGATATTATTAAAAAAAACTTACTCTGCTCACCTGGATTCCGACGCCGTGTGATCTTCAATGTGGTTACCGGCGTTTCTAAGAAGTCTATAGTCTCCATCTTTAGGACAGAAGTGAAACCTGAAGAAGGAAGCGATATATTACTCCGAAACCACATTTTCACTTCCATGGAAAAATTAAAATCTCACATAAAAATCGTTTCTGGACAAAATTTGGTACAAGTTAAAGTAAATAAAATTGAGCGTCGCAACGAATCAGCTTTCATGTGTGAATGTACATAGAACGTAACAGAAAGTAGTTCATGTTAAATTGATCGTCAATTATTATCACAGTCCGTCTTAAGAAGCTGATAGTAGCTCAGCTAGCAAAGAAATTCCTAGCCTTTTATGCAATCCAAAGGTTCATTACCGCCCTCACAAGAGCCCGCCACCGACTCCTATCCTCTACCAGAAGAATCCAAACCACAACCTTCCACTCTACTTCCCTAAGATCGTTTTTAATATTATCGTCCATTCTACAGCTAGGTAGTGGTCTCTCACCTTCGAGATTGCCGACAAAAATTTTGTACGCATTTCCCATCTCCTGCATTCCCGCCAAATGCCCCGCCCAATTTCATTATCCTTGGTTTCGTCGTCTGATAATTTTTTTTTGGAGCGTACAAAGTACATAGAATCTAATTGTCAGCCTCCCCACTGGAGTACAATGGAATTTTTTACCTCAATTTCTACTTTACAGTCCCTGGCAGACATCATGTCTCATTACACTTCAACGATATCCAAAATATTTATTATACTTATTGTTTCCTGTCTACATATTTCACTCCTGAATAGAGAACTTGTTTATTAATACGTCATCATGCATCAGTAACTGGTATGTCCATCCCACACTTTTGTTATTGAATAAATGCCTATTGATCGCATTTCCCCCCCCCCTGAAATGATCAATTAGGCTAGAGATTCACCATCTGATTGTCATTCTTGATGGCTGTAGAAAACCTGTTAACAATATATTCTGAAATATTCTGACGATGGTGTAACACAATCTGGATTTTTATATTTCTTGACTAAAAATTTACGTGATTTTTACAGCACCAGACGGTGGACAAAGTCCAGATTATTAACAATAATTTTAATTACTCTGAAAGTTATTCAAAAAGGAGAAAAATAAACCAAAATTGTGACTCGCAAATTCACATTCTCTGCATTGCGAAACTCTGCGATTGACGTAAAACTTAAATATACTACAAATATATTTAATTAAACATTTTTCCTGTATAATCGAAATCATACTTTAGCCAACCATATCAATTTCATGTATAGAATGACGACGCCGGCCTGTTTAATCGAAGCATTTTTTTTGTGTACCAACAAGTAACACTAAAAATGGAGTACGATCTATGACGAGAACAATTACGCACTTAACCACCAAATCACGCTCTTCAGCGACAGGGTCGAAGCACCCGAGAAAAATAATAGCAGATCGAACTTCACCGTCGAACGGTTGGTATCACTGTTTAAAATTTAGGAAGTATCCAATTCAAAATTCTCGGACGACAGATAGGCCATCCTCAGACCTTCCAAGCACATTCCCACATTTATCCTTATTCTCTGCGTTATTAAAAACCAACGCGGTTAAAACGTCGTTTAAAAAGGGTATAATCAACCACAAGACATTGTGGGACTCTGCAAGCAATGTAAGTACAGTTAACTCTCGTTATACGAGCTTTCCAGCGTGTTCCACTGGGTTAGCTCGTTACAAAGCTCAGTGGTAACTATGTATACCGTCTGGTTTAACATTTATCAACTCTGAATTTCGAGCACTGAATGAAGATATCTATGGCTTTCTGACCATAAACAGCGATTATTTCCTTAAACAGCGTTAACCAGTCGATCTTCGTAATGGTGAAGAGTTGTGTTTTCTTCGCGGTACGGACTGAATTCTTAAATATAATTTAGACGAGCTTCAGGTTTTAAACGGTTAATATTTGTAATACAATAACACTAACTGGACCTGAAAAATCAGTGCATTCAAGTTACGCGACTGAGAAAAAGAATGATGGAACCTGCTGATATAATATTCACGGTGACAAATTGCTTCTCATCAACCTGAAGTAGAACACTTCTACGCTCGACGATAGAAAAATGTAGATGCTAGTTTCCAAATAATCTTCCCCGCTATAACTGAGGTGTCAACCAAAGACCCGAGAGCCAAACGCGGCCCACGACACCTCTGCATGATGCAGCTTTAATCTATATTAAGGAAATAACTTAAAACCAGGGGTGTTTCAGGGGTGTGTACAGCAGATAGAAGCGTCCTAGGCAATGGAATTAGGTATGAGTTAACACGTCCCTGTTATATATTATAATATGCTAACCTGCCCACTTATTTAATCCCGCTGAAGACGTCGGAAATTTCAACGGGACACAATTAGCCCTGTCAGTTGAGTCTCAGTTTTCGCTTGCAGGGACTGTACCTCGGAGTAACTGTATACTGTGCTGCTGAATCCTTACATCGCCAAAATTGACAGAAAGAATCCAGAGAAATTCTTTTTTTATTCTATTTTCTTGCCGTTCTTTCATTGGACGAGGGATGAGGATGGGTTCCATGTAAACTAAACCCACCCTCGCAGAGAGGGCGAGACGCGGCATGCTTTTGTTTCAATTGAATCTCTGCAATACGACACCAGTTCCACCTTGTGTTAGATGTTGGAAATTGTATAGTGTGAGTGCAGAGTAGGTTCAGCTCGCTCTATTGTGACCTACTGGGGGGCTTTGCCTGGCGCCACTCATAAATGAGATCCACCTGTTAACAAACCGCGCGCGTT